AGTCTGCTTCTCCCTCTGACCCTCTTCCCTCTTGTGCTCTCTATCTCTCATTCTCTCTCTCTCAAATAAATAAATAAAATCTTTAAAAAAAATTTAAAAAATTTAAAAAATTTAAAAAAAAGAAATAATTATGTGATGTGACGGAGGTGTTAGATCATTTTATAATATGTAAGCATATCAAAGCAACACATTGTACACCTTATGTCAGTTATATCTTAGTAAGATAATAATAGAAAACAATATATTACATAATTTATATATAATTATATATATTACACACATGTACTTTCCCAGCTTGAAAAAACTCTGAAATATATCAAGTATATCTTAATAAAGCTGGAAAATATATATACTAACATGTATTTTCCAGATTTATTAATATATATTAATTATAATTAATATAATGTAATATGCTATCTAGAGAGAGACTAGAGAAGGACATGGGAAGAATAGGGGCACACTGTAAGTATCTTAGAGCTCAGACAGAAGAGGAGATCCATCAGCCAAGAGCTCGGGGCAGGTTCTCCAGGAAGAGGTGGTCATTGAACATAAATATTATGGAGAAATATTGTAGGCTCTCAGAAGCAAAGTTGACTTTCCCCTAAGAAGAAAAAAAGGGGAAACCTGGGGATGCTGGACTCCCAATAGTCATTGAACCTGGGAAGAAGATGGTAGTGAAGAGTTGAACCCTATTCTGATGTTCTAAACTCCTAATACAGTCTCCTTCAGTACACAGGTATAGTTTATTTTTAAAATCTGCAATACGATGGACTCTGAACAAACTGAGGGTTCTAGAGGGGAGGGGGGTGGGAGGATGGGTTAGCCTGGTGATGGGTATTAAAGAGGGCATGTTCTGCATGGAGCACTGGGTGTTATATGCAAATAATGAATCATGGAACACTACATCAAAAACTAATGATGTAATTTATGGTGATTAACATAACATAATAATAAAAAAAATCTGCAATACTTGTACTTATAGTTGCAGTGATATGTAATAAAACTCACTAATAGAATGAAGGGGTAAAAATCACATGATCATCTCAACTGAAACAGAAAAGGCATTTTACAAAATGCACCACATTCATAAAACTAGGAATAGAAAGAACTTCCTCATAGATACCATGATTAAAGGTATCTATGAAAAATACACAACTATCATCATAGTCAATGGTGAAAGAGTGAAAGCTTTCCTCCCCAGATCAGGAATAAGATGAAAATTCAGCTTTCATTACAGCTAGTCAATATTGTACTGGAAGTTTTAGCCAAAGCAATTAAGCAAGAAAAAAAGCCATCTAAATTGGAAAGGAAGAAATAAAACTCTGTCTATTTGCAAATGACATGATCCTACATAGAGAAATTGGGGAAGAATCCACACAAAAAAATTAGTAGAACTAATAAACAAATTCAGCAAAGTTGCAAAGTACAAAAATAAGACACAAAAATCAACTGTGTTTCTGTACAACAGCAATTAGCAATCCAGAAACAAAATTAAGAAAACAATTCAACTTCTAATAAGATATAAAAGGATAAAATACTAGGAATAAGTTTAACCATGAAGGTGAAAACCTTGTGCACCAAAAAATACAAAACATTGCTGGAAGACATTAAGGAAGACCTAAATAAATTAAAAACATTCCATATTTGTGGATTGGAAAATCTAGGACATTAAAATGACAACACAATGTAATCCCAAATAAAATTTCAATTTTTTTTTTTTGCAGACATGAAGAAGCCAAACCTCAAATTCATATGGAATTTTGAGGGGCATGCCATACACACAAAACAATATTAATAAAGTACTACAAATTGGAGAACTCACATTTCTCAATTTCAAAACTTACTACAAAGCTACAATAATCAAAATAGTGTGGTACTGGCATAAGGACAGACATATAGATTGATAAATATAATTCAGGGTCCAGAAATAAACCCACACATCTATGGCCAATGATTTTTAACAGGGTATCAAAACTAAGAATAGTCACATCAACAAATGGTATGGGGACTCTTGATATTCACATGGAAAATAATAAAATTGGATCCCTATCTCACATCATATACAAAAATTACTTCAAGGTTGATCAGTGATTTAAATATAAGAGCTATAAAATTCCAAGATGAAAGTGTAGAAGTAAATCATCATGACCTTGGATTAGGCAAAGGATCATTAGAAATGACATCAAAAGCATGGCAATAACATCAACAAAATAGATAAATTGGACATCATCAAAGCTAAGAACACTTGTGCATCAAAAGACTATATCAAAAAGTGAAAAAAACAACACATAAAGTGGGAAAAATATTTGAAAATTATATGTTTGATAAAGGTCTCATAGCCAAAATATAAAAAGAACTCTTACAATTCAAGAAAGATAAACAGCCCAGTTATAAAATTTCAAAGGACTTGAAGAGACACTTCTCCAATGAAGATACAGCAAGCATATGAAAAGATTCTCAACATCATTAGGGAAATGCAAATCAAAACCACAATTAGATACTACTTCACAATCACATGGAGGGCTATAATCCAAAAAAATGAAAATAGTAAGAGTTGGCAAGGAAGTGGAGAAATTGGAACTCTTATGCATTAGTGATAAAAAAAATGTTGAATAGTTCAACAACTATGGGAGCAGTTGAAATTTCCTCAAAAGTTAAACATATGACCCATCAATTCCACTGCTAGATATATACCCAAAGGATTGAAAATAGGTACTAAAAAAATACTTGTACACAAACGTTCACACTGCACTCTTTGCAATCACCAAAGGGTGGAAACAACCCAAATGTCCATCAACAGACGAATGCATAAGCAAATTGTGGTATATACATGCAATGGATTATTATTGAGATGTAAAAAGCAATGAAGTACTGGAATATACTACAACATGAACGAACATCAGCAACTGCAGAGATAACATTTCTCACTTAGTTTGGCAAAAATTAAAAAACACAACCATACATTCTGTTGTGGGAAACACCCACGCTCACATGGTTGGTGGCAGTACAAAATAGCATAAATTTTATGGAGTAAAATTTAATGATATCCAAGAAAACTATGTATCAATCTACCCTTTTAAGCAACAATTACACCTGCAAAAATTTACCCAGATGTTATACCTCCAACAATACAGAAAATATGCACATGGCTGTTCACTGAAGCATATTTGTAATAGCAAAATCTTGGAAAATACATAAATGCCCCTCTAAAGGAGATTGGCTGAATGACTAAGTTTGTGTGCACACAGTGGTGTAGAATGCAGTTCTAAAAAAGGGGGAAATTATTATGAACTGCCTTAGGGTAATTTTCAGGATGTATTGTTAAGTGAAAACAACAAGGTGCAAGTGAGCATATTTGTGCAAGAAGGAAAAAAAAGAAATTAAGGATTCAAGTAACTTACACAAAACTTTCCACAGATTTGATAAATAGGGACTGCTATTCAGCACTTTCTATGAAGTCAGTGCAAACTTGCTATAAAACCAGTCAAGGACAGTGTGAGAAAGGAAGGTTACAGGCCCAGCTCTCTTATGAACATAGATGTAAAATTCCTTAAAAATAGCAAACTGAACCAAATGATATGAAAATGATAATATCCAATAATCACATTAGATTATGGGAGAAATGCAAGAATGGTTTAATGTTAGAAAATCTGAAATGGGAGTGTCTGGGTGGTGCAGTCAGTTGAGCGACGGAGTCTTGGTTTTGGTTTGGGTGGTAGTCTCAGGGTCATGGGATCAAGCCCCTCATCGGGCTCTGAGCTCAGCACAGAGTCTGCTTGGGATTTTCTCTCTCTCTCTCTCTCTCTCCCCCTCTGACCCTCCCACTTGTGCATTCTCTCTCCCCCACTCTCCCTCTCCCTTATAAATAAATAAAACTTAAAAAAAAGGAAATCTGAAATGTAATTCAATACATCAACAGAAAAAAGCAGTAAATATAATTTCACATAAATTAAGGAAAATTCTCTTGCTGTCAATTAAAGAGAACTTTCTAAACTTGATAAAATATGTTTATGAGAAACCTAAAACAGACACTATCCTAAAAGGGGACATTTGAGAAGCTTTCATTTTAAATCAGGTATCAGACAAGAATATGCACATCCTTACTTCTATACAGTAATGTATGGAGGTCCTGGCCTACACAAGGAGGCATTTAAAATGGCATAAAGTTTGAAGAGAAAAATACAATTGTCATAATTTGCAGATGATGACTGACTACCCAGAACACTATAAGGAACACTGCAAGAAATTAAAATGAACGGTGGGAGAATTTAGCAAGGTAGCTAGTAACAGATCAATACATAAAAGTCATTTCTCTACAATAGCAACAAACAGAAAGAAATAACTAAAAAGTTACCCACTCCTTACAATTTTACTTTAAAAGGCCAAGCCTCTAGGAATAAATATAACAAAGACATGCCAGAACTCTACATGGGAAAATTATTATTTTTTTAGGGCTTTTTTTTTTTTATGTTACATTAGTCACCATACAATACATCGTTAGTTTTCGATGTAGTGTTCCATGATTCATTGTTTGTGTATAACACCCAGTGCTCTATGCAGTACGTGCCCTTTGTGAAAGGACCTTAACAAGACCTAGAGAGAGGAAAGACATAACAAGGACAAGATTAGGGGATGAAAGGGGTATAGCTGTGAAAACGCTACCTGGTCCTGGGGTGGGCGTGGTTGGGAGGTACTTGGATATCTGTCATTGGAATACACAGTGCAAGGCTGGTCACAGCCTGCTTGTACTTGGCCCTCCTTCCCTCTCTCCTCCTCTGAACTGTGCCTGGTCAAACCCAGCAGTCCTCAGCCAGGACTCACCCATCATCCTGCCAACAGCATGAAGCCTGTGCTGCTTCTGCAGCTTCTTCTGTTGATTCACTTAACACCACAGCAGGTGCCTGGGAGCCCCAAGGAACATTTGTTGAGTAGGTGCTGGGTCTGGGCTCCAGGGCAGGCATGGGGGCGTGGGGGGAGCAGCTTCTATAGAGATGAGAGGATCTGAGGGCTGAGGATAAACATTGTGAAAAAATACAGTATCATGTTCAAGGGTCTAAGTTTTATTGTCAGTAAAATCCAGGTGTGAATCCCTGCTGTGTTCTTCCTGAGTGGTCCTGGACAAAGTGTCTGGGCCTCAGATTTTATCTTTGCAATGGATATAATGACACTGGGACAGTAGGGAGGAGAAACTGAGATAACTCATGTACACACAGAGCACTCTTAATGGACCATGATAAATGCTCAATAAGAATTAACTGCTGTAAATGTTATCAGCCTCATCATCCAGTGTATTCTTGCTGCCCTAGTTCTTCACAGATCCTTGCGCCAACTTTTCAGGCAATAAAACAGAGAGGAAGAGTGCCTGGGTGGCCCAGTTGGTTAAGCATCTGACTCTTGGTTTCAGCTCAGGCCGTGATCTCCCCATGAGATTGAGCCCCGCATGAGGCGTGGTCAGCAAGGAGTTTGCTTGAGATTCTCTCTCCTTCTTCTTCTCCCCCCCCCAAATAAATAAATAAATCTTTTTTAAAAACAGAGAGGAAAATTAAGTTGGTAGAACTCAAGCTGGAACCTACATAATCTCTGCCTTGGAGAATGTTTGGGACAAAAGAAAAGAAAGTCTTACAATTTATTCCACATTTTAAACATTCAGAGGTACCTGCACAATTACCAGTGAGTAGCATCAGTGACCAAGTACAGAGCCCATCTCAGCAGCCGCCACAGCCCAGCTCAACCTAACAAGAGCGCCGACCATGGTTATGTTGACCTTAACCAATGCCAAATGGGAAATGAACTATTATCCATCATATCTGCATTCTTCTATGGGGAGAGCATTCTCAGAATACTGAGGGCTCAGAAGAGGAAAACGTGTACTACCTCAGGTGTCTAGGGAGGCAAGTTTCTGTTTTAGCGGTCTCAGAGAAGGCACACAGATTTGTAAGACTGAGGGAGGCCAAGCTAAATGCAAGAGAATGAGGGCAGGATTAATTTGGAGAACCAAGGGCTAAAATTTGAAGAGAAACACAAAAAGGGCTCCTGAAAGACTGGTAAGTCTTTGTGAGTAAGACCGGGATCACATACCCAGAAAAGGACACAAAACTTGAGAAAGTCCATCTCTCTGAGATCCTTGGCTCACAGACTCCTTCCTCACACTGTTCCATTGATCCCCAAGCTCCTCCCCAAAGTGGGGATCAGTTCGAATTTCTTGCACCGATCTAGTGACCCATGGGATGACTGGGAGATCAGGGTGAGTGCTGCATTCTGGTCTCTGCTAAATTGTCAACAGCTTGGGCCTTGGCTTTTTTCTCTGGTGTTACTTGTTGTTACAATTACAGCCCCAGCTTCATTCATCACTTGTTCCCTCCAGGTCAGTATGATGTCCTATGGACGCCCTTCTAATTGCAAATACTTGCAAAGCAATAAGTCAACAGGGCTTATAGAATGCTCCACCTACGTCATTTGCCCCAAAGAAAGAACAAGTCACAAGGTGCAAAAATTAGGGCCTGGCTGGGCTTTGATAAAGGGGCTAATTGTACCTATCCTTAATGCCTTGGAGTTCAGGAACAGAGAGAAAGTTTTGAGTTGGAGCCCTGCAGCAGGATCTCCTGGTGGAGGTGGTCTTGACGTGGACCTGAGTACTGAGGGATGGGGGAAATAAGATGTTAGCATGAAGATGCTTATTCTTCTCTAATAGTAGAAAGTGGGGGCATCCTGGTGCTCTGGCTTCCTTATCAGAAGAGACCTGGGGGGACACCTGGGCGGCTCAGTCAGTTAAGCGTCTGCCTTCAGCTTAGGTCATGATCCCAGGGTCCTGGGATGGAACCCTGCATCAGGCTCCTTGATCGGCGGAGAGCCTTCTTTTCCCTCTGCCTGCTGCTTCCCCTGCTTGTGCGTGCTCTCTCTCTCTCTCTCCGCCTGACAAATAAATAAATAAAATCTTTAAAAGAGAGAGAGAGACCCAGGAAGAAAGAGAAGCCAATCTTTGCACCCCATTCCAACATACCCACCCTCAACCCCGTGAAATAATTTGTGATTTGGGTTCTAGCATTCTGATGCCAGTATCTTCAATACTGTGTGGTCTTCATCCTCTCCCAAAATCTTCCTTCCCCCTCATTCTTCCTACACACAAATAGTACATGTTAGGTGGATCCTAGGATAAACTATGTTGTTAGTGAGAAGTTGTACAACTTGCTTGGGACTACACAATGAGTCCATGCAAATGCACCTACACACCCCTCTCTTGCTCACCACACACTGTTCATTCCCTTGAACTGGACCCAACTACGGTCTATGAGGTATCTGATCTGTAAGGATGGTGAATCACCAATGGGTGCAGGGTGCTGCTAACCTGTGTCTCCAATCCCGATACCCAAGCCTCGGTTTTCCCTGCTGAGAACTCAGAGAAAGGCAGCAGCTAAGGACAAAATCTGATTCCACTTCCCTATGACCACAGGAGGAAGATCAAGGTGGCTGGTTTTCTGGCAGTTACCTGGGCTTTGGGAGTTCTGAATGCCACTCCAGCCTGTTGTTTAGGCCCTTCTCTTTCCTGTTCTGTGTTCCAGGGAATATCTTGGAACCCCCACCCTGCAGATCGGATCCTGGAAACTGTACTCAATTCTGTACATTGCAGGAAGATTGCCAAAACGGACTTCAGTGCTGTTCTTCCTTCTGTGGGATAGTCTGTACATTAAACAACAATATAAATCATGACAGGTAAGGGGCTTCTCATGCCCAATTCTGACCCAACTGCCTTGGGGAGCTCAACAGAAGAGTCTCTTACCAGCCCCTACAGTGGGTCTATTTTTCTAACATTCTCCTTCTTTTTGCCAAGAATAATTTTCTTAAATGCCCTGAATAAAAGAGCCTTCCTCCATTCCCAAGCTACATAATCCTTCTCATCACCACATCTGTGAATCTCTAAATATGCCTCTCTGAACACACCCACAAACCCCTCCATCCACAGACCCTGCCCTGTCCCAGAATCCACCTTTATCCTGAAGCCTGGAACATTATATCTGGGACTGTATGTCTCATCAAAATCCCAAAGCCAATCTGTTTTCTTTGTTTTTGCTTTCCCTCTTTCACCAAATATCATCCTTTAGCCCCCAGTGTTCCTGGGCTCTGGAGATCCTGCAGCCTGAGCAAAGCTTTGGTTAACTGCCGAGGCATTAGCATTGGCCCCATATCTGCTGAATGGAAGTACTCCCAGAGCAGAGAGGGCATTAGAGAGCTATGAGACACCTGGTTTCTAATTCTATCTTTCAGCTACATCTTTCTACAACCTTGAGCAAGACAATTACCCATGTTTGCCTTTCTTTCTCATGCATAAGATGAGGACTCTTTATTCCGGCCTTGCAAAGTTGGTACAAAGACCCACAAGGCAAGAGATTCAACCAGTGACCTTCTAAATGGTCTTGTTCTCTGCTGTATTCCCTGCCCTGAGCACAATACCCAACATATGAGACAAGGTACAGAGTGATGAAGTAGGGGCTGAGAGGCACATACCTAGACTCAAATCCTAGCCCTACCACTTCTTAGTTGAGTGACCTCAGATAAGTTAATCAATCTTTCTCTGAGCATCAGCTTCCTTATCTTTAATACTGGAACAATAATAGTGACATGAAAATAGATAACCCATGCAAACTCTAAAAACATTACATGCCACATAGTAATTACTCAGTAAATTTTGCAGTTAGGCAACCACTTCTCTCTTAAGAGGCTGGCTTTTACAATGAAACTTCAAACCTTTCATAGCTCTACAGTGCAATGCAGAAGCATAAGTATGATTCTTTGTTGTCACCTGGTTCGTTGAAGTTCTGCTTTCCCTATGACAAGAAAACTTAGCTTCATGGTCTAGTTTTAATGGAAAATTAAGTATTATATTTCTAAGAACAAAACTTCACCAGAGAATATTTGAGAATATTTTTCTTCTACAGAACCAGACACAAGAACATAAGAAATATGGCACAACCTAACCATACACCTAAAGGAGCTGGAAAAAGAAGAGCAAATAAAGCCTAAATCCAGGAAGAGAAGAGAAATAATAAAGATTAATGCAGAAAACAATGATATAGGAATCAAAAAACAGTAGAACAGATCAACAAAACTAGGAGTTGCTTCTTTGAAAGAATTAACAAGATTGATAAACCCCTAGCCAGACTTATCAAAAAGAAAAGAGAAAGAACCCAAATAAATAAAATCATGAATGAAAGAGGAGAGATCACAACCAACACCAAAGAAATACAAATAATTATAAGAGAGTATTATAAGCAATTATATGCCAACAAATTAGGCAATCTGGAAGAAATGGATAAATTCCTAGAAACATATAAACTACCAAAGCTGAAACAGGAAGAAATAGAAAACCTGAACAGACCCATAACCAGCAAAGAAATTGAACCAGTAATCAAAAATCTCCCAACAAACAAGAGTCCAGGGCCAAATGGCCTCCCAGGGAGAATTCTACCAAACATTTAAAGAAGAATTAATACCTTTTCTTCTGAAGCTGTTCCAAAAAATAGAAATAGAAGGAAAACTTCCAAACTCATTCTATGTGGCCAGAATTAACTTGATCCCAAAAAAACAGACAAAGACCCCACCAAAAAAGGAGAATTCCAGACCAGTATCCTTGATGAACATGGATGCAAAAATTCTCACCAAGATACTAGCTAATAGGATCCAAGAGTACATTAAAAGGATTATTCACCAAGACCAAGTGGGATTTATTTCTGGGCTGCAGAGTTGTTTCAACATCCACAAATCAATCAATGTGATATGCCACATTAATAAAAGAAAGGACAAGAACCATATGATCCTCTCAATAGATGCAGAAAAACCATTTGACAAAATATAGCATCCTTTCTTGATAAAAACCCTCCACAATGTAGGGATAGAGGGAACATACCTCAGTATCATAAAAGCCATATGCGAAAGACCCACAGCGAATATCATCCTACATGGGGAAAAACTGAGAGCTTTTCCCCTAAGGTCAGGAACACAACAAGGATGTCCACTCTTACCATTGTTTTTCAACATAGTACTGGAAGTTCTAGCCTCAGCAATTAGACAACAAAAAGAAATAAAAGGCATCCAAATCAGATGAATTCAAACTCTCACTCTTTGCAGATGACATGATACTCTATAGTAGAAAACCCAAAACACTCCACCAAAAAATTGCTAGAACTGTTACAGGAATTAAGCAAAGTCACAGGATATAGAATCAATACATAGAAGTCTGCTGCATTTCTATACACTAACAATGAAGCAGAAGAAAGAGAAATCAAGGAGTTGATTCCATTTACAACTGCACCAAAAACCATAAGATACCTAGGAATAAACCTAACCAAAGAGGTAAAGGATCTGTACTCTGATCAAAAGAAATGGAAAAGCATTCCATGCTCATGGATTGGAAAAAAAAATATTGTTAAAATGTCTATGCTACCCAAAGCAATCTACACATTCAATGCAGTCCCTATCAAAATACCACTAGCATTTTTTATAGAGCTGGAACAAACAATTCTAAAATTTGCATGGAACCAGAAAGACCCTGAATAGCCAAATTAATGTTGAAAAAGAAAACCAGAGCTGGAAGCATCACGAGTCCAAACTTCAAGCTGTATTACAAAGCTGTAATCATCAAGACAGTATGGTACTGGCACAAAAACGGACACATAGATCAATGGAATAGAATAGAGAACCCAGAAATGAACCCTCAACTCTATGGTCAACTAATATTTGACAAAGCAGGAAAGAATATCCAAGGGAAAAAAGACAGTCTCTTCAACAAATGGTGTTGGGAAAACTGGACAGTCACATGCAGAAGAATAAAACTGGATCACTTTCCTACATCATACACAAAAATAAACTCAAAATGGATGAAAGACCTAAATGTGAGACAGGAATCCATCAAAATCCTAGAGGACAACACAGGCAGCAACCTCTTTGACCTTGGCCACAGCAACTTCTTGCTAGACACATCTCCAAAGGCAAGAGAAACAAAAGCAAAAATGAACTATTAGGACTTCATCAGGATAAAAAGGTTTTGCACAGCAAAGGAGACAGTCAACAAAACTAAAAGGCAACTTATGGAATGGGAGAAGATATTCACAAATGTCTTATCAGATAAAGGGCTAGTATCCAAAATCTCTAAAGAACTGGGTGTTATATGCAACTAATGAATCTTTGAGCACTATATCAAAAACTAATGATGTACTATAATTGAACATAATAAAAAGAACTTATCAAACTCAACACCCAACAAACAAAAAAATCCACTCAAGAAATGGATAGAAGACATGAACAGACATTTTTCCAGAGAAGACATCCAAATGGCCAACAGACACATGAAAAATGCTCAATATCACTCGGCAGCAGGGAAATACAAATCAAAACCACAGTGAGATACCACCTCACACCAGTCAGAATGGCTAAAATTAACAACTCAAGAAACAACAAATGTTGGTGAGGAAGTAGAGAAAGGGGAGCCCTCTTACACTGTTGATGGGAATGCAAACTGGTGCAGCCACTCTGGAAAACAGTATGGAGCTTCCTCAAAAAGTTAAAAATAGAACTACCCTAGGACCCAGCAATCCCACTAGTAGGTATGTATCCAAAGGATACAAACATAGTGATTCAAAGGGGCACGTGCACCCTAATGTTTATAGCAGCAATGTCCACAATAACCAAACTATGGAAAGAGTCCAGATGTCCATCACAGATGAATGGATAAAGATGAATGCACACACACACGCGCGTGCGCGCACACACACACACACACACACACACCAGGAATATTACTCAGCCGTCAAAAAGAATGAAATCTTGCCATTTGCAAGGACGTGGATGGAACTAGAGGGTATTATGCTAAGTGAAATAGTCAGTCAGAGGAAGATAAATACCATAGGATTTCACTCATATGTGGAATTTAAGAAACCAAAGAGATGAACAGAGGGGAAGGGAAGGAAAAATAAAATAAGGCAAAAACAGAGAGGGAGGCAAAATATAAGAGATTCTTAACTCTAGGAAACAAACTGAGGGTTGCTGGAGAGGAGGTGGGTGGTGGGATGGGGCCACCAGGGTGATGGGCATTAAGGAGGACACTTCATGGAATGAGCACAGGGTGTTAGATGCAACTGATGAATCATTAAATTCTACCCCTGAAAGTAAAGTTAGCAACAAAGTGTATGCTAACTAAATTGGATTTAAATAAAAAATTTAAAAAACCAAGAAACATCATGGTTGGCAACTAAGGCATGTTTCCAAGAGCATTTTGTAAGTATTGGGGTTTGGCCTGGCCTTCCCAGTGTGGGCTTATCCAGTTTTCCTCCTCTAGCCTCGCTGATATCCCGGCAATGTCATCCCGATTGCCCCCTCCTCCATTATCCCCCCCCCCACACACACCAGGCTATGCTCGCATTCCCTGGAGCAAGATGCGGTCCACGGAGGGTTCTGGCACACAGAGCAACAAAAGGAGGCAGAGTCATGGCCCGGGGGTGGAACACAGGGCGCTCACATCTGAGCCGTTGCCAAGGAACAGGCTCTGCCGGCCTTTGGATTAATGATGTCGGGGGCGGGGAGGGGCGGGAGTCAAGCTGAGCCCTTCACACTCCGTGTGGCCTTAGTCGGCTCATTCCACAGCTCTGAGACCATCAGCTTCCTCACGTGAGCGAGGAAGAGAATATCCATACGTCAGGTTTTGTGAGGATTACATGAAGCCATGTGGAATGGAAGAACTTGATCGTTGCAAAGGCTCTGTAAAGGTTAGAAGCTGCCAGCGATTCATTCTTTCTAGGTTCCAGATTTTTCCCCTTTAAAAAAGGGGGATCATTGGGGCGCCTGGGTGGCTCAGTTGGTTAAGCGGCTGCCTTCGGCTCAGGTCATGATCCCAGGGTCCTGGGATCGAGCCCTGCATCGGGCTCCCTGCTCAGCGGGGAGCCTGCTTCTCCCTCTCCCTCTGCCTGCCTCTCTGCCTACTTGTGCTCTCTCTCTCTCTGTCAAATAAATAAATAAAATCTTTAAAAAATAAAAAAAATTAAAAAATAAAATAAAAAAGGGGGATCATCTTTATTATTTTACCAATGTTACAAGAAAGCAAGAGAGCAAAATAGAATCCTCTGTAACTCCACCACTGAAACAAAGCTACAATTCATAAGTTGGTGGGTTTTGTCTCAGACTTTTTGGGGGAAAAGGAGGAACTTAGGGTCTTCTAACTGTCCTTCTGAAGTCACCAGAGTTACCAAGGGGTATTTCACCTTAGACAGTCCTTTTATTAACCCTGTACAAAGGAATTTGATAAATGATGACAAGTGAAGGCCAGTGGAGGAGTTTACGTGAATGAACACCACCATGTTCAGACCCTGGTGAGTCAGCCCTGCTAACTTCCTCTGTGCCTTGTAATGATTAACCGCTCAGGCCATACCCTGGCCACCCATCAGCGCATCAGCATTGTCACATAATCCATGGCCCAGTCAGTGCGAAGATACTGAGCTCGAAGTAAGAACCCAGGTGTTCTATCCAGGTGAAAGGTAACAGAAGGTGGCTGGTGCAATGATACAGGGTATTTTTATTATAGTTTCAGGGTTGCATGGCTATGGGTATATGAGCCTTAGCAAGCCTCATCTCAAAGCATTGCCCAGAGAGACAAAACTTCATCTCGGACAAGCAGAAAAACACTGCTGTAAACCTGAGTGCGTCTTCTATAGAAACAGGCATCCCCATCCTATTATCTTCTGGTAAGCTCAGCTAAGACCATGCCCTTTGATGTATCGCATTAACTGTAATATCTCTTAGATCCACACATCAGAATGTTTGCTCTCCCCAATGCTGCAGCCTGTCTTCTGCAGAACGGTTCCCCTCAACTGACCATGACTGCTCTGGAGGTCCTGGTGTTGGCTGGGAAGCTTGGGTAAGGGAGGAGATGGCAGTGCCCTTGAGGACCTGAGAAAAGTGCTCATCTTATTCCCAGAGAGTGCAGTGTCGAGCTTCCTGTGGTGACAGAATGGAAGACAGAACAGCCCAAGCAGACCTTGCCAGCATCTTCCATAAAACCTGGGCTCCAGTGGGCATTGCCAAGGGCTTCCAACTTTTTCAATGTGAGCTAACATTTTAGCCATGACATGCTTCACCTCATCTGGTCCTCACAGCAACCGTAATACCCAGTTTACAAATCAGGAAATTGAAGATCATAGAGTTAAAATCACATGCACAGCATTAGCCAACAGGCCAGTGGTGGAGCTGGAACACAAACCCAAGGCTTGGGAAGCCCTCTTCCCAAGGGATGGCCACCTTGGGCAGTCAATCTCACTGCTGCTGAGTTGATCTTCACATTTTCCTGTTTCCACTGAAATTTCTCATTGACACTCTTCCCCCTACTTCCAGCTCAGGCCTCATAACTCTTCATTCCCCTTCACACTTAGAAAGCTGCCTCATTCAGCTTGGTTTCCTCCAAGGCCCCATGCCCTCTGTCCCTCTATGCTCAAACTCTAGCTTTTCTGTCTGCCAGAATGTCTTCCTTCCACTCTCCTGATGAGCTCCCACACATGCTTCAAGCCTCATATTAAATAAAAGTCTCTGGGGAAACTTCACCAATTCACCCCAGATGGAATGGGCCACTCTGTGTCCTTTTAGGGCTGTATCTTGCCCTTATAGGAACTTTTATCACATTGTCCTATCATCATTTAACTTAGTGTTTTCTTTATCTAGAGAATGAATCTCATAAAAGCAGGAACTGTGTCAGACTTCTTTGCCACAGAACCCTAGAACCTAACGCTATACCTCGCACATAGTGAGGATACAATTCTGACTTTTCAAATGGAATAGGAAGGAAGCCGGCAAGGAGTAGACTAATCCTAACACTTGATGCCTTATTCTCACAAAGAAAATATTTTTTAAAATATTTTATTTATTTATTTGACAGAGAGAGAGCACAAGCAGAGGGAGCGGCAGGCATAGGGGGAGAGAGAAGCAGGCTCCCCGCTGAGCAGGGAGACCAATGTGAGACTTGATCCCAGGACCCTGGGATCATGATCAGAGCCGAAGTCAGATGCTTAACCAACTGAGCCACCCAGGCCTCCCAAATCACAAAGAAAATCTTTTTATTTATTTATTTTTTTCACAAAGAAAATATTCATTGCATAGTCCAGAACCCCTCAGATATCAGCTGACTACTTTCCTTTTGGGGCTGGACTCAGGTTCCTTTTATAAATTATTTTTCTTAAAGACAAATTTATATCTGCTTAAAAATATAAACTGAAAAACAATCTGAAAAACAATCCTCCCCCCAAAAGCTTGGAAATATCCATTTATAAAAGATGGTAGGACAGAGTAAAGGCTAAAGGTCCTAGCTGTTCTGGGACTCAGTCTAGCTTTGTCCTTGCTGACCTGGGGAAGCTGGGCATCTCCAACTCCTTGGGGCCTCAGTCTCTTCATCTGTAAAGGTCGTTGAATAACACCTACCCTCATGTGTGTCATGAGACCAGATGAGATGATGCAGGTAACACATGTACCACAGCGCCTGGTAGAGTCTAAGGAGAATGTTACTGTCATTGTTCATGTCTTCCCAATCCTTCTTTTAACAAAAATTGTTTTAGAAAAGAATCAAAGTGTACCTTCTACTTTAAACTCTATGTTTTTTTAAAAATTTCTCTAGGTTTCACATAAATTAGCTCCCAAAGAAGATAAACGTCATATCTCTGACCTTTGTAGCATCTTCTAAGATGGAACAAGGCATAGCTCTGGAAAGTAGTCCATCCCTGAGAGATAATATGATTAAACCACATGATGAAGGATCAGATAATGTAACAATGATTTTTTTTAAATAATTTTTTATTGTTATGTTAATCACCATACATTACATCATTAGTTTTTGATGTAGTGTTCCATGATTCATTGTTTGTGCATAACACCCAGTGCTCCACGCAGACGTGCCCTCTGTAATACCCATCACCAGGCTAACCCATCCCCCCACCCCCCTCCCCTCTAAAGCCCTCAGTTTGTTTTTCAGAGTCCATCGTCTCTAATGGTTCGTCTCCCCCTCCGACTTACTCCCCTTCATTCTTCCCCTCCTGCTATCTTCTTCTTCTTCTGTTTTTTTTTCTTAACATATATTGCATTATTTGTTTCAGAAGTACAGATCCGTGATTCATCAGTCTTGTACAATTCACAGTGCTCACCATAGCACATACCCTCCCCAATGTCTATCACCCAGCCACCCAATCCCTCCCACCCCCCACCACTCCAGCAACCCTCAGTTTGTTTCCTGAGATTAAGAATTCCTCATATCCGTGAGGTCATATGATACATGTCTTTCTCTGATTGACTTATTTCACTCAGCATAACACCCTCCAGTTCCATCCACGTCGTTGCAAATGGCAAGATCTCATTCCTTTTGATGGCTGCATAATATTCCATTGTTGTAACAATGATCTTGATTTCTCTAAGTTTCCAGCAACTGTGGAAGATGTTGTTGCCCCCTGCAAATCCCATGTGAATATACCAACTTGGAAATTTTTGGTCACCGAGTCCCACCATGTTGAGTGCAGCTGAACTGCAGGAACAGGAGATCCTCTACCATGCTGCTGTCCAAGCAGGGCATGAAAGAGTGCTTGGAAGAGATTGAGGTGTGTCCCTTGAGGTTGAAAGGCATAGAGACTATTATCTAGATGGTGAGAAGCGATGGGAGATTCTTCCCATCCAGAGTCTGAAAAGGCTAGGAAGCCTGAGTCTTCTTGTGAGCCAAGGAAATAACAGAGTAGCCAGGCTTGAGACATCTAGGAAAAACTTCAGCAAGAAGGCTACCAGCTGTGGACATCTTGAGCATGTTGCCAGGGGCAGTTATAGAAGAAATCAGCACAGAGTGCTTCACCTCATCACGGAATGCTGCAGTCTGGAAACAAAAACACCCCTTGGACTAAGGGGGATGGGTTATGGAAATGTTTTGAGGAAGGATAGACTAAAAGCTTTCCAAAGACTCATCAACCCAAGATTCCCAGTTCCCCTTCTGTCTTACCACAAATCTTTCTTCTAAGACTCCAAGAGTGTCCCCAACAATGGCAATTGTGATCTGCCAGTTTGGTTTTGGAGGGTTTGGGGGTTTGGGGGTTTGGTTTTGTTGTTGTTGTTGTTGTTGTTGTTGTTGTTGTTGTTGTTTTGTATCCCAGGGCAGAATTCCTCCATCGAATGTTATGGAGTAAGACTGCCAGGTGGCTACTTCACGCTCCTTATTTCGCTGAACAATTCGAGGGGTTTCCCTGTTGGCTATCGCAATTAGTCACCATCACAAAGGAGAAACAGAACTCCTACTCAACAATGAGGCAGGAATGAGAGCTAGAACACAGGAAATTTCTAAGTCTGGCATAATAGAAGATTACAGCAACGGATACAGACAGAGCCACAAAAAGCTCCCATGCTTCAGAAATGAAGATTTGGAACATTCTACCAGGTTTAAAAAACAACACTAACCATCTGATGCATTGCTGGGTGAAAGAAAAGGGAATGTGGATGAATAGTGTGAGGAAGAAGTCATGAATATCAGCCACCACTTCCTGATCAGAAAAGAGAACCATAATTTTCTCTTCTTTGCTGTATCATGGATGTTTATAAATATAAATGTCATTAGTATTATATATGTGTATGTTTGTTTTAATTATTTCCCATTGCCTATGTTCTCCTATTATTTTATATTATGTGAGCAAGTAATATTTACATTAGAATTTTTTGCATGGGTGTTTTAGTCAGCATTGTTCAGTAACAATCCCCCACCAGTAAATCTCAATGGCAGCAACAATAAAAGTTTATTTCTCTCTCACACACATCAGCAGGAAAATAGATGTCTAACTAATCTAAACTGGGTTTGGCTGAGCTTGGATCCAGGCTGAGAATAGAGCCCACTTTTGATCCCTCTGTCTCTCCTTCTTTTTGGACCAATAGTTTCTCAAGAAACACTCTTCTTGGGGTAAAATGTAGAGCTCAAAGGGGAAATCCAACTCTGCAAGCATATTTCAAGCCTGGTATTATTCCTTGACCAAAGCAAGGAACAGGATCAATTCTAAAATCAAAGACCCAGGAAATATAGAAGAAGTACAGTCTGTCCACCTGGAGGCCATTGGATGAAAGTAGATATGTAATGATGGATTTGATAAGGCTTACAAGAAAGAGATTAACTTAATTACTATAAATGCATAATGCATCCAATGTACTCATACTTTGCATTTCAAAAAAAAAAAAGAGGGCGCCTGGGTGGCTCAGTTGGTTAAGCAACTGCCTTCGGCTCAGGTCATGATCCTGGAGTCCCAGGATCGAGTCCCGCATCGGGCTCCCTGCTCAGCGGGGAGTCTGCTTCTCCCTCTGACCCTCTTTCCTCTCGTGCTCTCTATCTCTCATTCTCTCTCTCTCAAATAAATAAATAAAATCTTTAAAAAAAAAAAAGAAAGAAATGTCCTTCTGAAGGAGTCTGAAATTTTTAGAAAACTATGATAGTGTAGTGTGAACATTACACTGGAAGCAATGGGCAGGATGGAGGGGAGCTGAAAAGATGGGAGCAGGAGGCTAAGAATAAGGCTGTACTTCTTATTTCCACCATTTAAATAATGAGAAAGAAGCACTAATGAGGTATTCTCTGTGGAGATGGTGAATACAGGGGGAAAAAATGCAGTCAGGAAGAGCAAAAGTAAGAATCAAGGGAATGTGGTAAAAGCAAAAATAGGGGTCGGAGATTTAGCCCTTGTTGGAATATGGGACTCTCCTGATGGGAACTTTATTAAGTCCTTTTGTGTCCCATCCACACCTCCTTATTGGAACAAACTTTTTCAATTTGAACAGAACTAAGTGAATGTCTGACTATATACAAGGAATTATTTCAGTCAAGGATCTTAAACAGGAGATTGACTACTGTACAAGAATGCTACATAACAGAGGTATGAAGAAACTTGAAGGCTTTAGGAAAAGTGTGCATTAATTCAAGATACAAATAATAAGTATAGTAATGTATCAGCACGGCTGAGTTGCTTGAGAAAACTTTAAAGCAGGAATCAATCAGAGAATTTGGTCCTACTGTCAGATGACCAAGAAGGGAGTTCAGGGCAGAAACTTTCCATTAGACAAATCCAGGGAATCTTTTGGGGCAGTGGTGGGAAGCACCATTTAAGCAAGTAGTATTAAGCTAATAAATACAATATCTTGCATCTGCATTGACCAAGGAAGCAGAAAGAAGTCACAGTGACATTGGGACAAAATTATCTGTGTGGATTTATGAATTTAGATCTTTTCCCAGTTAGCCTTGTGTGTTCTGGTTCTAGTGACTTGGCATGGCAGTTTCCACACAAATATGACAGAAAAAATTCAGAAGCACAGTCCTCAGGGAGAAATATACAGGGTGTGTACAATACAGGGACAGTGGCAAGATACAGTGAGATCCTTGGAGCATATCTAAGAATGCTCCTGAGAGCTATATTTGTTTAAAACATATCAGGTTTTTTTCTGGGGCTCAAATGATAAAAACTCACGGGTATCTGCTTGGAATTCCCTCACTTACCATAGGCATATAACACAAGACACAGGGGGTGAGATGGTGAGGTAAACAGTAAATGGAGGATATGAGGATGAGCTCTTATGTTCAGAAGTCCCAAGAGTTACAAGGACAGCAACACAACAACTCAAGCAGCCTTAATAGGAAGAGCTATGAAGAGAGACTTGGAATTTTAATCATGATTCTTCCTAAATTTTGCAAACAATTAGCACTAGATGCCACTGTTCATTTGGAAATCAAAGAAAATCCTTTTCTAGGCCATCACTCATGTGAACCCCCCACCAAATTCTTACCTTTGGTTTCTTCATCTATGGCTCTTATAACCTAACAGCAGAACCTCTGGACTCCTGTACCTTGTGAGATTCCTACTTGGAGAATGCACAGGTGCCCTCACATGCCTCTTTGGTCAGAAAGCTATAGTTGAAACAACTGCATTCTCCCTTGTGTACTTCTGGCAACTTGGATGTCAAGCTCAAAGTACGATCAGAATAGTTCAGAAAAAATGGCCAATTTTCTTGAGTTTGGCACACTGGACTAAGGAAGGAAAGAGTGAGGGTGTTATTTTGATGGGGGAGTAATTGGAACCCAAAAGGTCCCTCCTCTAAAAGACTCAAGAAGAAAAATACACAGCAAAACAAATAAGGTCCCAACAGCTGAGACTTATTAAATGCTAACTTTGGGTCAGACACTGTACACATATTATCAGCCACCTGAAAGACTCCTGGGCTCTGGGATTTGTCAAAGAAGAGGACATATGTGTACCAGGGTCTGGGAAGGAAGTCAGGGCCACAATAACCCAAACCCCAGAGTCTGGCCCCAGACTCCTTGACTGCAAGGGATTTCATGGTTCCACATAATATCAAATTTGTGTCCCCATTTCTGTCCATGGAAGCAACTAACAGGCATCAAGCTTTTCATGGCCAGGTTCAACCACGTCTGGGTCCACGTCTCCAGCATGGCAGTGCCAAGCAGCTGAAATACTTCTCTCTACCCAGTTTCCCCACTGTCTTTTAGTTCTATATTTTTATTACCCACCACCCCAGACTTTTTCCTTTTTTACCCTCAAACTCATGGTTGGACACAGACAAAATTCACATTCTTTTTTCCCACAACCTTGGAACCAGAAGGATTCTGTGCAATTATTTGGTCTAATCCCTGCATTTTAAAGTTAGAATAACTGATAACCAGAG